TTTTGACTGCAATCTTTGGATGATTTTGACGTGAGACGGTTTGGTGCAGCCCCATAGTTGTATACCGTATGTCCAAATCGGTTTCAACATACATTTGTACAGTAGCAATTTGTTTTCGAGGGTTAATTTTGCTCTTCGCCCTATTAGCCATTGCATTTCTCGGACCTTGAGGTTTAATTGTTGTCGCTTGGTTTTTATGTGTTTACTCCATGTGAGTTTTTGATCAAGATGTAGGCCTAAATACTTAACTTCGGTTTGGAGCGGTATGATTCTGCTTTGAAATGTGACTGGTGGACATAGGGTACGCCTCGTAGTAAATGTTATTTGCGCAGATTTGTTGCTGTTTATTTTTATTCTCCATTTGTCGAACCAGATCTGGAGTATGTCGAGATGCTCTTGTAGATGTTGAGATGCTACCACTGGATCTTCGTTTATTGCCAAAATAGCTGTGTCGTCGGCAAATGTGGCTATCGTTGTGTTGTCTGTTACAGGTAAGTCTCTGGTATAGATTAAATACAATAGTGGCCCCAGGACACTTCCCTGTGGAACACCGGATCTAATAGGATTGCACTGCGATATCGTATTATTGTACTTTATTTGGAAATGCCTTTCGGAGAGATATGATTTCAATAATTGATAGTAAGGGCTTGGTAAAGTGCTTTTGATCTTGAATAATAGTCCCGGGTGCCAGACCTTGTCGAAAGCTTGTTCGACATCAAGAAATGCAGCTATACAATATGTTTTTTCTTCGAGGCTAGTGATTATTTTATTCACGATTCTGTGTGTTTGGTGTACTGTCGAGTGCTGCTCCCTGAACCCAAATTGGAAATTAGGAATTATGCCGTTTATCTTGATGTCGTTTGAGATTCTATGTAATAGTAGTCTTTCGAATAACTTTGATGGGATCGGTAGCAGACTGATGGGGCGATACGATCCTGCTTCATTTGCGGGCTTTCCTGGTTTGTGGATGAGGATAATCTGGGCGAGTTTCCACAGGATAGGAAAATACGATAATCTTAGCATGCTATTGTATATAGTCGTCAAAAGTACTAGCGCTTTTTTTGGAAGTTTTTTTAATACTTTGCTCGTAATTAGGTCATATCCCGGAGCTTTGTGCAGTTTTAGGCTTTTTATTTCCTTTGCAACTTCACGAGGAGAGATGGGTGTAATTGGAAGTGCCATTTGAAGTGGTGCATCCAGGTAGTTGTCAATTTCGCTATTGTCGTTATTTCCATTTTGATCATGAGGTGTGAATACTTGGACCAGATGTTCAGCAAAGGTGTTAGCCTTTTCTCTTTCGCTTCGGGACCATGTTCCATCCGCTCTTCTAATAGGTGGGGTAGGTGTTTGAGGTTTCTTGAATTTCTTTGTGGCCTTCCATATTGTGTGGTCTTCTCTTTTAAGTGATGTTATATATTGTTCGAATGATCTGTTTTTGATGTTAATTAGGGTTCTGTGTAGCTTGTGTTTTAATCTGTTGTAGATGTTTCTGTCCTCTTCATGTCTTGTTCTCTGCCATTTCTGCCTTGCTCTTCTTTTCTCACTTACTAACTCGCGTACATATCGAGGTAAATTAATTGTGCTAGTTTTTATACCGACTTGGTTCGTTGACTTCCAGGCTGCGTTTTGAACTAGAGTTGTGAAATGTTGTACTACTTCGTCGAGTTCGTCCGGGTTTTTAATTCTTGCCTTTAGGTTTATGTTTTCGTTAATATATGATTCAAAGATGTCCCATTTAGTGTTGTTATTTGTCAGTGTAGGTGTGGGCGGTTTATTTATTACGTAAGTGCTTAGTGTTAGTATGACTGGACTATGGTCTGACGATAATTCAAAGTTTGATTCTGTTGTCATATAGTTCGTAGCGAAGCCTTTTGATATAAAAAAGTCTAGTAAATCTGGGAGTTTGTTGGCATCGGTGGGCCAGTAAGTCGGTTCTCCAGTGGTAAGAGAGTCACAGTTCAGTTTGTTCATCGCTTTGAGAAGATTTCTGCCTTTTGGGGTTATTAGTCTTGCGCCCCATTGGGAATGTTTTGCGTTCCAGTCACCACCTGCTAAAAACTTGTTGCCTAGTGTTTCAAAGAATTCCTCATATTCTTCATTATGTATTGCATGCCTGGGGGGACAGTAGACGGCTGATATTGTTATTGGAGATGGCTTGCAGTCAACTTTAATATTGGTAGCTTGGAATTTATTTGTCTGCATGTGATTAAGCTCATGATGAGAGATTGTGTTTCGAATTATAATAGCCGATCCGCCGTGTGCTGTGTCATCTGGATGAAGTGCTTGGTATAGTTTATAATACGGAATTTTTATCATAGTTCTTGTAGTGAAATGAGTCTCGGTGATTAATGCAATGTCTATTTTATGGGTGTGGAGGAATGTTTCTAGTTCTAATTTATGGTTGGAAAGTCCGTTGGCATTCCAGAGTAATATTCGCAGAGAGTTGAAAATTAAGCTAGTTTATTTATTACTGTGCTTAGCATGTTTAGAACCATGCTGTTTTGGTTGATAAGCTGATTAAACATTGCTTTAAATTCGTTTAGAAAGGTAGATAATTGTACTCCAAGATCAGTGGGTTGGTGCCATGTGTCGCCGTTGTTGATGTTGTGGTTCCCTTTTGCTGCTTGTGCATATGTTTGTTGATTATTAGAGCTTTGTTGTTGTACGTTTGAAGGAATTCTTGGGTTGATAGGAGTTTGCATATTTGGAGTATTTATTTTATTAGGATTAGTTTTGTTTCTTGCGTTTATTAGGTCTTTATAAACGGAGCAACCTTTGTAATTAGCAGGATGTTCGCCTTTGCAAAGCACACAAGTAGCTGGTGTATCTTTGGGTTTTTTGCAAATTTTTGTATCGTGTGGGCCTGCACATTTCACGCAGTTATATAGTTTTGTACAATAAGTTCTGGAGTGCCCGTAAGCTTGACAACGCATACATTGGATAATACCTTTTTTGTACCTTGGTGGCTCAATATCAATTTTAGTGTGTGAGATGTATTCTACGTTGAAAACTTCTTTGTTGTTGTTCTTTGGTTCAAGATCTACAAAAAATAGGGGCAGAGGTTCCTTTGTAAGTCTGTATCTAACATTGATATTATTTCTTGCTGTGTGGCCTTTTTCGGATAGTTCATTTTTTATATCGTTTATTGGAACAGAGTAGTGTAGTCCTCGGATGACAATTCTGTAAGCTCTTTCCTGTCTTATTTGGTAAGTGTGATGTACTATGTTTTCTTCTCTCATATAGGTGATAAGTTTTCTATAAGTGTCTGGAACATGGGCATTAATCCTTATTACATTATTAGGGAGTGCTTTGGTATAGTATGTTTCTTCTGGTGTTACTGTAGCTAAACTATCTAACATCAGTTTATAATCTTTGACTCCATAAACATATATAGGTGGTGGTTTAGGGTCTCTTTGTGTTTGATTTGGTGGCTGGCTCTTATTTCCACTGGAAGGATTGTCGTTGACCATTTCAACTTCTTCTGTGTTTTTTTCCGAGAGCGTTTGGAATCTGTTTGTTGTTGTGGTTTGTTGGGTAGTTTCTGTAGATTTTTGTGTCCTGTAGCGTTTTCTTTTGTGTGAAACCTCTTGCCACGGGTGGCTTTTCTGTGCTTCTGTTTGATCGTTACTATCATGTAACATGTATTCTTCATCATCACTTGATGGTAGGCTTGCCGTCTCATTGGGCCGTCTCTCAGCGTTTTGGTTTTGAGGAAAAGGGTTTTGGTGTAATGACTGTTGTTGAATGTTTGGCATCATTGGATTCATCGACTGGAATGTTGGTTGAGGCTGCATAAAATTTCCTGACTGCATTGCTTGCATGTAGTACGCGTTTTGTATATCGTTGCTCGAACCGGGGCCATTGCCGGTCGGAAACATTGTTTTGTTCAGATTAAATATCTGATGATGTGTGCAGTTGATACCCACTCAACTCGAAAAACTGTTAAACCGATAAATACACTGATAAGTTTATGGAAGAATTCGCAAAATAATATAAACAATTATAGTTTTGCACTTTAAAAGTCAAAAATGCAGACACATTGGTGTGTTACATGTTGCTATTTGGTACTAGGCTTACTGTCCAGAATTATTTTCCGCTTTAAATCACCGTTGTCACACTAACTATGACTGCAGAAATGCTGCAGAAAAATATTTTTTACAGTTTTACGTAATATTTCATTATTTATAACACTATTAACAGCCTAGAATTTTAATCCTTGAATCAAGTAAATTAAACATTAAATTACGTGACGCGCCCTGTATGTATAGATTAATACGCTATACCAAGTATCATGATTCAGTTGTCTTGAAGTAAAGTAGCTGCTAAAATATTTGTGTTTGTTCGATGTAATTGTTTTTAATATTTGTCTAATTTAAAATTAAATCTGTTAATAATAGTAAAAATTTGTAAAAAAATATAATGGAATAATAAGAAAACGCATTATCATACTAGAAAGCAAAGATACATAAAGTTATTAAATTGATCTGTTTCTTTGTGCAACAATTAATGCATTTTTGTAATTGTAGGTATATATTCCCTTAAAGGAAAACTTTCAATGAGAAAGAGGGCAATTTAATAAGCAAACAGAACCTTTCCTTGTTCTTCCTTCTCCTTTTATAATTTTTATTTATTAGAAATAACTCACGTACAGCACTGATTTAAATTGAAGTCTTTATTTATTAGAATACAATAAAATGCAAAATGCAAAAAAATTTTAGGAGTACCTAAGGCATTTATACCCTATAGACCATTTCACTTTGCAATATGGTCATTTCTACGAGTTGAACAAAGAAAGATTAATAAAATAACAGTTGTTAGAGTGAAAAATTGCAATGACACAATATCACTCTTTCTTTTTCTTTTATAAGAGTCTAATGGATGTTGTCTTTATCGCATCCATAGCCTATATTGCAAACTAAAATGAAACAATCTGTATCTAATATTATACACACCCAATACTCAATATTACAAAATAATCATTAAAAATGAATAATAACTAGTTATTTTTTCAAAGGTTCCAAATTCAACCAAACATTGCCTTTAACAGTAATGACCGTAATTAAGTCATACTCTATTGGTAACTTGGTTTTTTCATTTAGTGTAACATTAAAATTTGATACTACTGTACACAAACCAAGTTTAGCTTGAAGTTTCCCAAATCTCTGACCTGAAAATTAAATTAATCAAAATTAGGCACTACTAGCTGAAAATTATAATTTCTAATAATTATTATTTGCTATTTTTTTAAATTGCTTATAAATACCTATGCAATTTCGTGGTCCATCTCCAAACGGAAAGTAAGTCATGGAAGGTCTACTGGCTTTCGCTTCCTTGCTGAACCTTTCCGGATCGAATTTTTCCGGATTCGGATAATATTCGGGGTCATTATGAATAGCAAGTACCGGAACTAGTACTTGCGTTTGCGATTTGATTACCAAATCGCTGTTTGGAATATTAAAATCCTTGTTACACAAACGCGGTAACCGATGAATTGGCGGATGCATTCTTAATGTTTCTAAAAATAAAGCACTGCTTTATTATTTTTTATTATTGAGAAACATTGACGGATTCGTATTTAGAATTGATGCATTATATAGGGCACTCCAACAAACTGTCACGATCAGCTGATGTCATGGCCGCTGGAGGACAAATAAAGAATATTGCCTAAATAGTTCAGTGATATTTTGTGTGATTTAACGAAATGCCTTTGAAATATTTTTAAACGCTTTTAAATCACACAAAATATCACTGAACTATTGGGGCAATATTCTTTATTTGTCTTCCAGCGGCCATGACATCAGCTGATCGTGACAGTTCGTTGGAGTGCCCTATTGTAAGTTTATTACGTATGTACAAAAAAATGAAGAAGTAGCTAGGTTAGAAAAAGACGTGTAAGGCGGGAGTTAGTCATTCTTTGTTTTTGTTGTTTGAGTTTGAGTCAATGGGCAGTATTCAGCGCTTTACTTAATTTTAGCGCCTCACTTTAACCAATGTGACTCTAAAGTCGCTTCTCTAACTTGACAGTTGTACATTATTGACTAGAGATGCGACTTTAGAGTCACGCTAAAGTTAAACGTTAAAGTAAGATATACAACTTTTCTCATGCACGCGCCGATTTGGTAATGTCGCGGTAATGCCGAATTGGTAATGTCGCGAACGAAATCGTTCAAAACTACAAGAACTACAACATATTACCACCATAATTTTAACATTTATTATTTTCATACTATTGTAACTTACCTGAAATTACCTTTTCTAAATACTCCATTCCCAAAAGCGATTCGTAGGTTAATTTGTTGTCGTTTTGTTTAAGAGTTTGTTTGATTTCTTGTCTTAATTTCTCTTGAACAACCGGATTTTGTGCCAATTCTAACAAAGCAAATGTCATTGTAGTCGCAGATGTTTCAAAGCCAGCAACGAAAAATACGAAAGCCTGTGCTGCCAACTCATTCATCGTTATACCACCCGTAACATTTTCATTGTCTCCCTTTAAAGCCGCTTCGTCATCTCCCAACACTCTACCCGTATTTTTTAATTGAATCATAAGATGCAAAGCATCCTTGCGAAAAACGTTGTTCTTTTCTCTGTAGTCAACAGTTTTTTGAATCATGTCCACGAAGTACGTTTCGATTTCTTTTTTCGTAGATGAAAACCCCACTTCATTTACGATGTTTATGAACCATGTAGGAAACGTATTCTCGAGGAAAATACTGAACCTCTTGCGCCAACTGTTTTCGAAAGTATAATCACCATACTTTCTCAATTTGATATTGGCATCCTTCATGCTGTTAAATTCTAGTCCGAAAGCTACTGATCCTATAACGTCAGTTGTGAATCTGCACAGAATATCTTTAATATCCACAGCAACGCTACGCTCTTTTAACATTTCTTCAAGTCCTGTTGTACATTCCAACACCCTTTCGAACATCATCTTCATTTTACCTAAATAAAATTTTGTCGTTCAAGTTTTAAATTTCCCTTTAAGTTTTTTTTTATATTAAATTTATACCTGTTGTAAACGCCGGGGTTAATTTTGTCCTAAGATTTCTCCATTCATTATCTGATGTATTAAACACATTAGCAGAGAGTGGATCTCGTTTTTTGTTTACGTGAAATCCGCGGTTAACAAAGTGGTCAAAATCGGTAAACAGAATACTTCTGATTAATTCTCTGTCCAATGGTACGAATTGCGGTGTAACGAACATGTATACACCGGCATACCTTTCACCTTTGGCTTTTGCTGCTTTGTAAGCATTCACAATTGCATCTACTAGCGTGATATATTTCCCTTTTGGAGTTCTTAAATTACCAAAGAAAAACGTAGGTTCTAAAGTGACTACGTTTCTACTCCTCCAATAATTATATCTCCACTTTACAAAAAAGTAAAAAGCTACACCAAGAGTCATTAATGCGTAAGTTAATGAAAGTAACTCCATTTTTATATGAATGGGTATCTGTAAAACAACAAAAAGTGATACGGTAACTTGAAAATAATGTTAATTGTTAAGAAATCAACGGTTTTAATTTAAAATTATTCTAATTAACGATGTAGTTATTCAGTTTTTCCGTCAAGTGGGTACTATTACGTTGCTTAATTCTTGAAAAAAAAATCAGAAAATGACAATTTTAAACTTCTCTATTTCATTTTTGTTGAAAAACTTTTAGGTACTAAAACAAATTACGTAATTATTAATAATTAATTATTTTTGTATATCTATCCATTATTATTAACGAAAAATATCCATTATGCATTAATTTGGATATTTATCTAAGCGGATTTTTATTAAAATTAAAAATAATGAATTATTTTTGAAATTACCTAATAAAATAAAATTTCTTACCTGATGCTCGATTGGAATAATCAACGTCCTAACAATTACTTGCAACACATTTAAATAGTCTATAGATCTATAGGTCTATTTAAATATGTAATCCATCTGTTTGTAAAAATATTTAGAAATGATATACAGAGTGTTGTTGTGGGCTTGGTACATTTCAACTTTTTGACTTCGAACGTGGATTTTATTTTTTAATATGCCGATAAATTGTCTTAAAGGTGTAGATGTCTTCTGTCAAATACCTCATGGTATAGACTGATTCGAAACTTATGCTATGAGCTACTAAACTAAACTAGTACAATTTATTAAAATATGGAATTTGTTAATGTAAGTCACAAAGCTTATTAATATTGAATAAAACATTCTTTTGTAAATAACCTTACACTATTTAGCATACAGTAAAATTTGTAAAACGAAATAATGAAAATAAATAGTTGAAGTAAATATGTGACATAGTTATTTAAAAAAAATACAAATATATAATACAAATATTAAAGTACAATCATTATAAGCATAAAGTTAATAAATTTCGCTTTTCCTGTTAATTTTATTGGTTTTTGTCTTACTTTAATCTTTTTCTTGAATCTCTATTGTCTATTATCTATTAGTCTCGTTAAAAAGGTTGTATAATTATATTCAATTTCTGCTGGTTTGTATTCCCTTCTTACACTTTATTTGGGAGTTTCATAGTAGGTCAATCAGATACGTCAATGAGCTGATTAAACTTAGGGTAAACTTAAATTTTTATTATCACCTCTCAACTTTAGTCCCACTTCAATTGCGGTCGAAATGGTTTCTGCCTAAGACATAATAATGTCCTTTTGTGAAACGTTTTTTTGTGAAATTTTGCACTACACACCGTTTCCCCTTTTTTTCCATCAACAACACGCGTTTTGTTTACCTTTTTTATGATTGGTATTTTTGGTATTTTTGGTATGATTGGTATTTTTAATCACTGTTTAGTGTAAATGTTCGTGGTAAAAGTTAATTTAAGACAAGCCCGCGCGTAGTATCACTGAAAGAAAGAGAACGTCGTGTTGTGCTCTTGTTGAATTAAATGGCCCTTATTCAGCACCCTACGATGCACTAAACTGAATTTTCACGATCTATGTACAGGGCGTTTAAAATTACCTGACAAACATAGCTAACTTAAAGTGGCCATAACTTTGATATTTCAAAGTTTATTATTCATATTTATCCCTTGTATTGGTGTCACGATAAAAGGATTGGGTGTCCAACCGTTTGTTTCGAGCCAAGCCTAGGGGGTTTTGGAACCAACATTGCTAGAATGGGAATAACACTATGTAGTATAAAACAATGACAACTTTATTTACATACATTAAACTCGCTTGACCAGTCCAATACCATACCATAGAGGATGACATAGCGGTCGGGGCTCTTTCACGGAGTATACCTCGTGCCCTTGTCGTACTCCCGACCCTTAAGAGTTCCTTGGTCCCTCTACTGGGGTCCCCTACTGGACCTCACCAGTCCCTTACTGGTGCTCATCTGACTCCCTTGGACTCCTCTACTGGACCTTATCAGTCCCCCTACTGGAGCTCAATCGACTTCTCGAGACAGGTCAACCCACCGCTTATAAAGCAGTTGCTTGCGTCGACTTTGCTTCCGCTTTACCGTGCGGCAAGTCCAATGCGTGCTTCTGCAGCACGTACGAATATCGGTACTTCAAACATTAGACGGTTGGTTGAACCTTTTCCGGGGCGCCACCCGTGGTGCTCCACTTTAGTCATAATAGATGTTTACTAATTGAACGAATTGTAGATTCCGTTTGTTGTTATTTAATTCCATTTTAAGATCAACCTGTTTGAGTATTATTTAACTTTTAATCCCTTTTGTTTGATATTTCCGGAACCAAGAAACAGTTGTTTTATTCTTTTAAATAAATCTCTCGTCGTTAATGGTATGAGAATATTATTCGTTGAATACTGTACATGTGCTGCTAAAAAATTAGCTTGCATTCGTAAATGCATTAAAAACATTTTAAATAATTTTTATTTTTATAGCCCATTCTCGCACCCAAACATTACGCTTGCGACGACGCGTTTCATTCTCGCTATTTTGCCATTTTCGATAATAAATTTAGCGGCATCAGAAAGACACATTATTAATGTCCCCTGAATTTCCGGATACCCTGTATAAGGTCTTTGGGTCAATCCGGATGAAACAAAATAAGGCATTAACCTATGTAGATAGTAAAGTGGTGGTAAAGCTCCTAGCTCCTCCAATTTATCAATCAGTTGGAGGAAAAATATTTATAATACACAGAGTAATTACTACCAGATTGAGGTGAGTCGAATTTTCTCTATCAAAACTTAATTAATCAATCTTACTGGCATGAAACAAGATTATATCGTCAACAAAAATAGGTATTGATTTTAGAAAACTTATTAAATCAAAAAAAAGATCCATGCAATGTTTAGCTAGACAAAAACCCGAATAATAAAGGCTTAAGTTTCTTCTTTTACTTTTAACTTGTTTTTGACAGTTGACATTGGTTTCATGTTGATATTGATAAACGGTAAACGTTGTTAATTAATGTTGTTGCAGAAATTTTGTAGAAATAACTAAAACAGTTACTTCAATAACAATTTATTTTATTACATTTCATAACATACTGATATTGTTTACGAAGATTCTCCACAGAGCTGTTCGATCGAATAGGAAAAAAGCCCGTAAGACTCCAGAATGGTGTTCTAATTGTTGCTGGTGGGTTATTTTGTTTTTCTAGTTGCTGTTTGCTTCCTTTTTTCCAGTCTCAATCTTGCAAAATAAGAAAATTATAATTAAAAGAAAAATCTAACAGTACTTTTCTTTAAAAGCCAACAAAACGGTCGAATGTACCATGAAACACACCAAAATATCAAAATCTACGGCAATTACATTCCCTCTGCGTTCTACCCCTCTCTCGGAAGACTTGAAACGGCTTCAGATTCCTGAAAAATGAAGAAAAATGGTGAGAAATAGGTTCTATTTTTATTAAAAGGGGGTTACAACCCCCCTTTCTCTTTGTTTTTTTTTTTGTAAGGGGGCTGAACCCCCCTTCCTCTTTATGTTCTATTTTAGTAAGGGGGCTGCGCCCTTGCTCTCTCGTTTTAGATTGTGTGGGTCTGATGGACGTGTTCGAGTTTATAGAAGACGGGGAGAAGGGTACCAAGATAACATGGTTCAAGAGACTCATCTGAGAAAAAAATTTGTTGCCATTCCGGTTCAGTCCAATTGTCGTGTTCACGGCAAAATTTTAGACGCATTCTATGGTGTCGTCTTGTTAATTCTGGTACCCTTGATGACCGTCTACACCTTTTCCAGTTGTATATTAGAAAGCATTAAATGTATTTCAGAATAGTCAGATTTATATCAGAAAACGTCAAACAGATTTCAGATTAGTTAAATGTAGTTCAGAATAGTCAGATTTATTTCAGAAAGCGTCAAATGTATTTTAGATTAGTCTTATGTAGTTCGGAATATATCAAATGTCGTTTAGAAAAGGTTAAAAACATTTCAGAATAGTCAAATGTAGTTCAGAAATCATTGTATATCAGAAAGCGTCAAATGCATTTCAGAATAGTCATATTTATTTCAGAAAGTATCAAATGTATTTCAGATTAGTCAAATGTATTTCACAATAGCCAAATGTATTTCAGAAAAGGTCAAATGCATTTCAGAATAGTCAGATTTATTTCAGAAAGCATCAAATGTATATCGGATTAGTTAAATGTAGTTCGGAAAGTGTCAATTGTAGTTTGGACTAGTGAAATATAGTTCATAAAGCGTCAAATGAAATTTATGCAGCGTTCATGTATACATATGTTGACTTTGTACACATTCAGCCATTAATTTTAGCCTCATTTCAGCCTGAGCTGAGTATGCACTCTCTTCCTCCCCCTTACCCTTTGGATATGATTTTCTGTTTTTGCTCGTTTTTTAACAAACTCAAAGAATGGTTGTAAAACGTAGATAGATTGATATACAAACAACGATAAAAGTTTAATTTACAAAACCATTTATGATGGTGTACCTAATAATAATGAACAATTAACATAAGATATTCAAACTCCAACTTGCGCATCTTGCATTTCCAAAAATGCAGCATGAAAAGTTGTCGAGTGCTGTGCAGCACGGGCACAATCTCCACCGACGATGGTGTTTTTAGCATCGTCAATTACTTCTTCTAAATAGTTCAGACGTTGCTGCACAATGCCAGGGCCTACAACATTCGGATTTTGAAGATTCGCTTTAACATGATTCTTAATTTTGCTCCATATAATTTCAATTGGATTTAACATCGGCGAATATGGCGCAAGACGTAACAGACAGGGAGCATTGTCGCAAACTATGACCAAATCGTTCAAATTGTTTCCTCCATTGACCCATTGCTGCAGCAAGTCCGCCAACCACTGATTAGCTGCAACTGCGGTGAATGAGCCACGACGTCGCTCCATTGCAACCATACCCGCAGCAGAAATCCCTCCAATCAAATGTATATTAGATCCTCTTGAGGCTGGCAGTGTCTGAACAGCCCTACTGCCAAAACGAGACCTGCCTCTCGTTCTTCTACAAAATAGATTGAAATTTGTTTC